CCCCCCCCCCTCGACCCCAGACTGCGACGTTCCCTTGAGAAATGGCTCAGAGAAGGGCTGACTGATTTCTGCCCCTGTGGATTTTTTTGGGGGGGAGGGTTTCCCGCAGGGCTGCTGCCCCATGGACGGTGGTAATGTCTGTGCAAAGGTGTTTGGGAAGGGGCTGCCCTGCTCTGTGGGAAGGGTGGGGGCTGCCTCAATGTGGGGGTTACAGAGGAGCCGGGTGGGGAACAGCACCCTGCAGGGTTGGTGCCTCTGCTGTTCCTATGGGGGTCACAGCCCTGGGGGTCTCCCCACCACCCCCTCTGTGGCTCTAACTGCAGCACAGGGTGAGGTGAGGGGCCGTGGGGGGTGAGCAGAGGCCCCAGCTGCAGCCTTGTCCTGGGGTGACCCCCAGCCCCCCATTGCCGTGCAGCCCCATTGCTGCAGGACCCCTGGGTGGCTGGAGCAGAGCTGGCACTATTGCACTTCCCCCAGCTTGGTGCTGAGTTGGGGGACGGCCGGGGCGCTGCCGGCTCTGGGGGGGTCCTCATCTCCCTCAGTTTAACGAGAGGCCTGGAGCCGGCTGACAGCAGGACGGGAGCGGGGTGTCACGTTCCGTGCCGGAGCAATGGGAACAGCTGTGCCGGCACTCGGCCTGCTGTAACCCCGGCACGGCCCCCCTGGCTCAGGGGAAACTGAGGCACAGGCTGGGGGCAACGCATGGGGTCCTCTGGGAACTCAGCCATAGGGCTGTCCCTTGGGTGGGCACCACTGTGCGGGATTTTGGGGATGCCTCGATGCTGCGGGGATGGTTGCCTGCCGGGGCTGGGGCTGCTCAGCGTGGGGCTGGGGCTGAGCATCCTCCCCACCATCGCAGGGCTCAGCTGAGTCCTACACCAGCCGCCCCTCGGACTCGGATGTGTCCCTGGAGGAGGACCGCGAGGCGCTGCGCAAAGAGGCTGAGCGCCAGGCGCTGGCACAGCTGGAGAAAGCCAAGGTGGGATTAGGGGGAATTGGGACCCTCGGCACTGGGAGCCTCATCACGGGGCATTGGCTCTCGCTGTGGGGTTTGAGGGGGGATGCTGCCCCCCACTCATCCCTTCCCACCTGCAGACGAAGCCGGTAGCGTTTGCTGTCCGGACGAATGTTGGCTACAACCCATCGGCCAATGATGATGTGCCTGTGCAGGGCATGGCCATCTGCTTCGAGCCCAAAGACTTCTTACACATCAAGGAGGTGAGGGTCTGGAGTTGTGGAGGGGAGCAGAGCAGGAGGGGAGGGCGCGAGTGGCAGGGGCTTGGGGGTGGGGGACGGCAGGGCATGGGGCTGAGGGTGGCAGCGTGTGGGGCTGCTGTGCGCCGTCCATTTGCAGGCTTTGAGGTGCTTTCTGTGTTCGTCCCCCGGTGCAGAAGTACAACAACGACTGGTGGATTGGGCGGCTGGTGAAGGAAGGCTGCGAGGTCGGCTTCATCCCCAGCCCTGTCAAACTGGAGAACATGCGGCTGCTGCAGGAGCAGAAGATGAGGCAGAACCGACTGAGCTCCAGGTTCTTCCCACCCTCTCCAGCCCCTGGAACCTTCACACAGCCCCATGCTTACCCCTCTCTGCTTCTCCTCTCCCAGCAAATCAGGTGACAACTCCAGCTCCAGCCTTGGTGATGTGGTGACGGGGACACGCAGGCCCACCCCTCCGGCCAGTGGTAAGGATGTCTGGGTTCCCATGGGGAGCAGGGCTGGCCCAGGCCATGGAGGGGGGCCTTGTCCTGCTGGGGACTGGACGCCCCTCCCAATGCCCCTCCTGCAGCTGGATCCTCCCCGCTACCTTCCCAGCACCGGGAGGGACATGCAGCCCCCTTGGTCCCCGTGTGGGACCAAAGTAGCAGCCCCACATTGCACACTCATGCTTACATCCAAATCAGAGCGCATGGGGTGCCCTCCCAGCCCTGGGTCCCTGCACTCTTCGTCCCCCCCTGCTCCCATCCATTCCCCCCTTTCACCAGCGTTATCACTGTTCTTCTCTCCCCTCCGGCCCCGGCGTGTCCCCAGGTGCCCTGGACACACATAGCTTTGCCTTTGAGCCCGATGAGTTAGAGGAGGAGGAGGCTGCGGAGACCCACTGCTCCCCTAAGAGTAGTGTGAGCAGTGTCACCACCCCCCCCGCCCACTCCAAGCGCATCCCCTTCTTTAGGAAGGTAACAGAGCCCAATCTGGCCCACGCCTGCCTGCTGCACCCTGCCTGCCCTAACACTGCTGGGGGCTGCGGGGGCACCGTGGGGTGGATCGGTCCATAGCTGCTCTCCCCTGTGATCCAGAGGATGGATCATTCCATGGATGTAGCCCTCTGTCATCCATGGGATGGATCGTTCCGTTGGCTGTATCCCCCCCATGGTCTGTGGATGGATCGTTCCGTGGCTGCATCCCCCCACGGTCCATGGGGTGGCTCAGTCCATGGCTGTGTGCCCCCTGATCCATGGGATGGATCGGCCCGTGCCCCCCTTGCCCCCCCCCCCCCCCCAGGGCCCCCTGTGTGCGCATGGTGTGTGGCACAGCTGTGTTTGTCTCCCCCGCAAATGAGAGTGGAACATTCCTACCCCCCCCCAAACTGGGCACGGTGCTGGGGGGCTCGGGTGCAACCACGGCGTGGGTAGGGGGGTGCTGAGGTGCTGCTCCCCACCCAAAGCCTCGCGGAGCCCCTGCTCACACCCCAATGCTAATCAAGAGTAGGGCAGCATTCATACAGAATGAGCTCCACCGGCACAATCTCCCTTTGCTATTGGAGCTGTGCCCCCCCTGGGCTTCCTGTTAACCCCCCCAGCCCAGTTTGGGGCCTGAATCCCCCTCCCACAGTAACACGCATGCCTTGTTTGTCTCCCCCTGCCCGCCCCGGCGCCTCGGGACGTAGCGAAGCAGAAGCAGAAATCGGTGAGTAGCGTCAGGACCCCTGGGTTTGGGGCAGGGGAGGAGGGGGAAATAGGTTTTGCTGCCATTTCTGGGGCCTCCCCGTCCCTTGGCATCACCCTGGGCTCCTGCTGTGCCCCCCGGCCCAGCGTGAGCCCCCTGACCCCCGATGCTGCCCTGCAGGCTGAGCACGTGCCGCCCTACGATGTGGTTCCCTCCATGCGGCCCATCATCCTGGTGGGGCCATCGTTGAAGGGCTACGAGGTGAGGAGCGGGGCTGGGAGGGGACCCCAGGGTGGGGGGGACACACAGAAGACCCCATGCCCTCCTCCTCCCCTCCTGCAGGTGACAGATATGATGCAGAAAGCACTGTTCGATTTCTTGAAGCATCGCTTTGATGGCAGGTGAGGCAGGGGGTGGCGGGGCCTTGCGCCCCTTGGCGAGGGGCACTCAACCCCGTGGGGGGGCCCTTAAGCCATGGAGGAACCCTCAAGCACGTGGGAAGCCCTAAATCTCACAAGAGGGCCCCTTACCCCACAGGGGACCTCTAAGTCCCACGAAGGACTCTTAGCTCTATGGAGACCCCCTGGTTTGAGTGGGATCTGCCCTCAAGGAGAAGGAGGCTCCACTTCAGCCTGATGCTTTTGGGGTGGGAGGAGGGGAGCAGGTGTTTGATGGGGGGGGGTGTTTGGACCCCCGCCAGCCTGTGTCCTTCTCACAGGATCTCCATCACGCGGGTGACGGCTGACATCTCCCTCGCCAAGCGCTCTGTGCTGAACAACCCCAGCAAACACACCATCATCGAGCGCTCCAGCACACGCTCCAGCCTGGGTAAGGCGGGTGCAGCGCCTCGGCCACCCCAAGCTCCCATCTGTATCAGCCCAGCAGCCTCCTGCTCCTGTCCCCTCCCTCCTGGGATGCTCAGCGTGTCCCTCCTTCCTGCACAGCCCCCTCCGCTCTGTGGGGCGATGAGTGCATGGGACGAAGGGCATCTGGGACTCGTGCTCCCACTGTCGGTTTGATTCAGTCTCTCTTCCCCTCCTCCCTTTTACCTTCTCTCTCTCTTTTTTTTTTCTTCTTTTTTTTCCTCCTTTCCCATTTGGGGTTCCTTCCCTCTGCACCGCTTCCTTCCTCCCCTGCTCCTGATACAGATATCTTGGGTATGTAGCCTGTTCTCGGGTAGCGCGGGGTGGGAGACAGCAGGGGATGCAGCCCCGAGGTTCCCTGTGCCCCCAATTGTGCTCTACTGCAGGGTCTGAGTGCAGCCTCTGCAGGCACCCACCCAATGCATGTGTCTGGGGGGTCTCAGTCCTTCCTCCCCCAGCACTGGGAGCCCACTGCCTCCCATCCGTGGGACTGGGGTGCTGCTGGTGTGGCTGAGCCTCTTCTGGCCCTGTCCCGCTCCCCACGCCCCATTTCCAGCAGCCGTCCCCGCAGCCCCCCTTTGCTGTCTCCATGCCCTTGTGACTCCCTCTGTCCCCCCACTCTGGCAGCTGAGGTGCAGAGTGAGACGGAGCGCATCTTTGAGCTGGCCCGGACCCTGCAGCTGGTGGCTTTGGATGCTGACACCATCAACCACCCGGCCCAGCTGGCCAAGACCTCCCTGGCACCCATCATCGTCTACATCAAAATCGCCTCCCCAAAGGTGAGTGGGGGCCATGGGGCGGGCAGGTGGCAGCGATGGGGCCGAGGTTCTTGTGCCCCCCGCCCCACACCGCCGTCTCTCCTGCTCCAGGTGCTGCAGCGGTTGGTGAAGTCTCGGGGCAAGTCCCAGGCCAAGCACCTCAACGTGCAGATGGTGGCCTCCGACAAGCTGGCACAGTGCCCGCCTGTGAGTGTCCCCAACCCAACCCCTGCCACCACCCTGCGGCCTTTGGCTCCGCCCCTTCCGGCAGAAGCCCCTCCCACCACCGTCTCCGTGCATAGATTCCACCTGTCCTGGCCCCGGGCTCCACCCACCACCATATTAGGTTATGTAGGCTCCTCCCACCGAGTGATGGAGGCTCCACCCACCACCATATTGGGTTATGTAGGCTCCTCCCACCGAATGCTGGAGGCTCCGCCCACCACCATATTTGGTTACATCGGCTCCACCCCCGCATGTCATAGCCTCTGTCCAGCACCTTATTTGGGTATGCCGGCCCCACCCATTACCTTATATGGATACATAGAACGCGCCTCTGCATGCTGCAGACTCCGCCCACCACCTTATTTTGTACACATGCCCTGCCCACAACCTTATATGGGTATGAGGGCTCCTCCCCACGTGCCATAGGCTCTATCCACTACCTTATATGGGCACATAGGTCCCACCCCCATGTGTGCAAGCTCCGCCCTTCTCCTTATTTGCATCCATAGGCTCCACCCCCGCGTGCCATAGGCTCCACCCCCCACCCCATTAACGCCAGCAGTCCGCCCTCGTGGCCGATGCTCCTCCCGCCATCCTGGCCCCTGGGCTCCATGTCCATAAGCTCCACCCCACCGCAGTTTCCTCCCCCCAGGAGATGTTTGACATCGTGCTGGACGAGAACCAGCTGGAGGAGGCCTGCGAGCACCTGGCCGAGTACCTGGAGGCCTACTGGAAGGCGACGCACCCCCCCAGCAGCAACCCCCCCAACCCGCTGCTCAACCGCACCATGGCCACGGCCGCTCTGGCCGCCAGCCCCGCTCCCGTCTCCAACCTGCAGGTACAGGTGCTCACCTCCCTGCGCAGGAACCTGGGCTTCTGGGGCCGCGGGGGCGCCGACGCCACCCCCAGCCCCCAGGAGGAGCACGCGCTGTGAGATGGCGGCGGGGCGCCCGTGGGACCTCCCCCCGGGGATCGGGGACACCCCCAAGGATCAGGGACAGCCTTGGGTTCTGGGGACGCCCCGGGGAACAGCCGCCTCCCTGGGGTTGCCCCCTCCTCTGGGGATGCGCTCCCTGCTCCGTGGTTGATGCCATCCCCGTGCCCCTGAAGTCGATCCTCCCCCCCCTACCCCAGGATCTGCTCCCCACCCCGGGTTTGGGGCCATCCCGCTGCGGTGAGGTTCTGCTCTCCCTGGATCAGGGCCCCCCTTTGGGATCTGCCCCCTGGGGTTGGGGTCTCTCAGCCCTGCAGAGATCTCCTGGGTTACAACGAGGGCTTATGGGAGTTCCTGGGGGGGGCTGAGCCCCCCGGACACCCCTGACCCCCCTGGGTCCAGCAGTAGAGGCTGTGTCCAAGCCGAGGGGGGCCCACAGCCCCCCCAGGGCATCAGGCAGAGGAAGGACGCGTGTCCTGTGTTGTCTGTCGCTAATTCCTTCAGCAATCAGGGTGCTGCTCTGCACCAACCCTGACCCCACCGCCTCCCTGCTCCGTTCCCCTCCATGCCCTCCCACTGCTCTGGACCTGCCCTGGTGGGGGGGGCCGCCCCGCCTGGGCGCCGCCCCGGTGCTGGATGAGACCCACATCTGGACTGCATGGCACGGAGTGTGCAGGCTGGGCTGGGGTGGGAGCGCATGCACTCCCCCTACTCACCAGGCCCCGCGGTGTGCAGCTAACAACCCCCCCCCCCCCCCCCAACCCCTCCATCTGTCCTTGCACGGTGTGGTTGCTTCTCCCAACCAGGCTCCATACCTGGTGCACGGGGAGCCGCCGGGCGAGGGGAACGTCCGGGAGGGGGGGCCCATCCCACCGCCTGCCCGTTTGGCCCCCCCCCGCCGCCTGTCCCGCCAGGACACCTTCGACTCGGAGACCCCCGGCAGCCGGGATTCAGCCTGCACAGAACCCGGCAACTCTTGCATGGACGTCGAGACCGATCCCGGTGAGGAGGACCCCCGGCCCCCCCCGGGTCCCCGCGGTGCGTGGGATGAGGAGCGGGGCCGGGGACCGCGGGGACGTGCCAAGGGCCACGACCGCTACTGCCCAGAGCCGCCGGAACCTTTGGGTCTGGACCAGAGTGACACAGAGGGCTGGGGACAGGAGGTTTACATCCGCTAGGGTGAGGGGGGATGTAGGCAGGGATGGCCCCCCCCCCCCCCAACCCCTCTTTTCCCCAGCCCCAGTGCTGGCTTTGGGGCCAGGGGTTGCACTCAGCTGCTTGTCTTTGCAGGCCACGTGCCCAAAGCCTGTTCAGCTGTGCCATGGGGTGTCCCTCACCCCACTCTTGGTGTTAAGGGGGGCTTCTCCCTCCCACCGCAGGCCCCCCAGCATCCTGCGGTGCCTCGGGCCTTTTCTGTCCCACAGGGAGAGCGAGTGACCAAAGGGGACGTGCCAGTGGCTGGCGTATCCCCATCCCCTATGGCACAGGGAGGGGGGCTTGCGCTCTCTCCAATACCCAGCCCTTGCCTGCTGCCTGCAGCCCCCTCCCCAGGGTGCACCCGCTTCTCCATGGTGCTCTTTGCCACCCTGCTGCAGGGGGACCCCTGAGCTGGTGGTGGAGGGGTTCCCCGCCAGCTGTCCCCTCCCCAGCTAGTGCCTGCCCCACAGCTGTGGGAGGGGTGCATGCGTGTGCTGTGTGTGCAGGGTTTTGGGGTGCCCACTGGGTGCTGCCTGCCTGGGGAGGGGGGGGGCATGGTTTTTGCATGTGTTTGCATTGGAGTGGGGGAGGATTTTGCCTGTTTTTGGTGGGGGGGGGGAAAGTCTGAGCCAACTGGGGGGAGGGTGTCTAACATGTGCTAACAGCTGCCCCAGTCCTGGCCTGCCACAGTGCCCAGCAGGTCCCGGGGGGGTCCTGTGCTACCCTCACCCCCCCCCCCTTTCCCTGGGACCATGGGAACACACCGAGCAGCACCAGGCCCTGGCCCCTGCCAAACCCCCTCTGTGCCACCCCCTCTGTCTGCTCTTTCCCCATCCAGCTGTGTCTGTCCGTCTGTGTGCCTGTCTGTCTGTCCCCCACCCCAGCTCCCCAGGGCACTGCCTTCACCTGTGCCCACCCTGGGGTGTCCCTTATCCCTGTGCCCCCATGAAGGTCGCAGCACTGGGGTGGGAACACCCCATAGCCGACCCTCGCAGTGGGGCTGGGCTCACCTCTCGCCCCCCACCTTGGGGCGATGCTGGGGTGGCCCTGGGGTCGCTGCCTTACCCACACCACCAGCCTTGCCAGCCTGGGCTGGGGGGGGCTCCGGGGTGCTCAGCTCTGCCGCTGCCAAAACGCCTCCGCCCGTTGTGTGCCTCAGTTTCCCCTTTTTTGCTGGGGGGAACTCGGTGTCACTGCCTGCCAAGTGCTTTGAGACCCACCTGCCCCGGTGCTTGCCCCCACCGGGGCCGAGCAGCTGGGCCCCCCCCCCCCTCCCCAGCCCTCCTAAAGGGCAGAGGGACGTCCCATATTTATGTCATCCCACAAACTTTATTTAAAGACCCCGACAAAGTGTATTTTATTTATTTATTCTCCTTGGTGTGTGGGGGGACTCGCCCCGCTCGCTTGGTTCTTTGTAATAAACATTTCGGTGACATCTCCCCGCGGCTGCGCCTGGTGGGGGTGCACAAGGAGGGTGGGGGGCCGAGACCAAGCACGGCTCTGCTCTGCAGTGACTGCAGCATCTCCTGGAGGGGGTTGGGAGCGGCCAGGACCTGCCTGGCTTTTGGGGAGGGACGCGTCCTGCAATGGGGCTGTACATGCTATTTACAGGGAATAAATACAGCGCTGCTGGCTCAGGGCTGCCGGCACCTCCACTCGCTCTTCTCTGGCCAATACTCAATTGCTTTCCTGCAGGGAGACACAGGACATCAGTCCCTGCTCTGAGCCCCCCCTCAGGCCGTGGGGCCATCAGTCCCTTCCCCACGGGGCTGCTGAGGGCCCGTACTCACTCTCGTGGTGGAGGCGATGCTCGGCACACCAACCCAGCCTGGCAGGGGCACACCTGGTTGATGCTGAAGGCCAGACCCCCGGGGGGCACATGACAGCTCTGCCCCAGCTCCAGCCGTTGCTGGCACAGCATCTCGCCGTGCCGCCGTGCACAGCAGCCACCCGGCCCGCAGTCCTCATCCTGCTGGCACCGTGCTCCTTTGAGTGGGGAGGGAACAACAAAGAGAGGGGTTACGTGTTGAAATCCCCCAGCCCCATGCAGGTGCAATGGGCCCAAAAGTTGCTCAGCCTCATGCGTGTTGCAGCAGGGGTTGCGATGAATCCCGGTCCCAACCCAACCTCCATCACATCCCTCTGTTCTCGGGGTTGTGGTTATGGGGCTGCCCACCCCCGTCTGCTGCTCACCCTCCTGCCCGTCGGGCACGGGCTGCTGGCACTTCCCAAAGGTGCAGAGGAGGCCGTGGGCGCAGTGTGTGTCACGGCGGCAGTACTGCCCAGCAGGCCGTGTGGGCAGGCACAGCCCGAAGTGTTCGTCACAGAAGTGTCCGTGGGCACAAGGGCTGGTGGGGCCGCACGGCATCGCCTGCATTGGAAGAAGAGAAGAGGGGTCAGGGAGGCCCGGATCCATCCCCACCTCTGGGATGGGTCAGAAATGGGAGGGCAGCACAGGGTGGGATTGGGTTTGGGCTCTGTGTGCCTGTCTGTCCGTCCCCCACCCCAATTCCCCAGGCACTGGAGCCGGGGCTGTTCAGGATGACGATTTGGGAGCCTCGAGTGTCAGGGGGCTTCAAGGGGCTGCTGGCTCACAGGGACTCATCCCTGGAAGAAGGGCACTGCCGTTCTACGCGGTTTTCTCGCAGGAAAAGAAAACCCCGAGCGTAAGGCCCGCCGCACAGCTGATGGTTATTTTGGGGCCGAGGGTCCCTGCGTCACTCTGGCAGCCCGTAAAATTCCTGCTCCAGGTGAGGCTCGAACTCACAACCTCGGCATTGCTCCGCGTACTGCCCTATAAGTACCGCGCGCTGACCGATTGCGCCACTGGAGCGCCCGCTGCCGCCCGCCGCGCCCGCGCCCCCTCCCGCCCCGACCCCGCATCCCCCCCATCCAGCCCCCCATCCATCCCCCCCCATCCATCCCCCCCCGTCCCTCTCCCCCCGTCCATCCTTCCCGCATCCCTCCATCCTTCCTGCGTTGCTTCTGCGTTTCCCCTTCATCCCCCCCCGCTCACCTCCTCCGCGCTGCCCCCCGGCCCGGCGCTTCTGCCCAGCGCTGCTCTGTCGGGCGGGTGTTGGGGCAGAGCGTACATCCATGCCCAGAGGTGCGCGGCGGCTGCGGGCAGAAGCGCGGCGAGGAGGCAGAGGAGCGCCGGGAACGGCTGCATGACGCTGACGGCGGTGGCACTGAGGGGCTCCCGGTGGGCGCTGCCTATTTGTAGCCCGCGGACCCCGCTGCCCCCCGCTGCTCCGTGTGTTTGCACGCCTAATGGGGAAGGAGGAGGCAATCAGGGTTTAAGGGATTAACGTAATTGCAGCCTTCCCCTCGCCGGGTGCCACAGCCCCAAAGCAAACCGCCCCCTCGGAGCAGTCTGGCTCCGGCGCCGCGCTACTCCCTGCGCTCGGTGCAGCCCCCCCAGCGCCCACGGAGGTGACGAGCTTTGCACCTTCCCTAACAGCTCTGCTAACGAGGTGTCCGCTGCCCGGCTCTCATCTCACCAGCAAACCCCAGACGGGCTCCGCTGGTGCTGCAGGCATTGCCGGGCCGTATCGCCGGGCTGCCGCGGGCTGCGCTGCCCCCGACCCGCTCCATCGGACTCGTGGACACGTCGGGCCGTCCGTCCTCCTCATGGTCCCCTTCTCTCTACCCGAGGCCTCAGTCCCCCCCCCCCACCCCCCACAGACGCTGACGGCTGACGCCCTCGGGGGACCCCGGGCCGCGGCGCGCAGAGCTGATCCCACCGGCCGCGCCCCCCGGGGGGGCGCCGGCCCCCCCCCCCCCCCCCCCCCATCCCGCCCCAGCGTGTTTGCACAGCGGCTCAGGTTGCAAATATTGACCCGTCATCCTCATGTCCGTACTCCCCCATCTGCCCCCCGCTGGCTCCGGTTAATCCCCCCCTCAACAGTCCCGGGGGGGAGGAAGGTCCGGCGCTCCTCCCGGCCGCGCACGGCTCCACCACGGCTCCGGGATTCGGCTCCGCTTCGCTGCTGCCTCGAAATTGCACCCGCTGCGCTCCCACTGAGGGTTGGGGACGGGTCCCCATCTGCAGTAAGGGCAGCACTGCTGGAGCCGCGCAGAAAAGAGGGCATGTGTGCGTGTGCAAAGGTGTGCAAGGGTATGCAAGAATGTGCAAGGGTGTATAAGGATGCGTGCAAACCCGCACCCGCATCGCGCCCTGCCGCCGGCGCAGCGCAGCCCACGCACATCCCTGAGCGCCCCAACGCCGTTCTCCAGTAGAGGGGGTATAGCTCAGTGGTAGAGCATTTGACTGCAGATCAAGAGGTCCCCGGTTCAAATCCGGGTGCCCCCTCATTTTTTTTTTTTCTTCTTTTTTTTCGTGTGAGGGTTTCTTCCTTTTTGGACCCCTTTTATCTCCCTTCTTCCCCCCCACCAGCAGTAGTTGAGCGGTGGTCGCGCAGTGCCCGCTCTCATCCCGCTGTCCCTGCACAGAAATGCCTCCGGGAGAGGGCAGCGGGCACCGGGACGGGCGGCACGAGTTCGACTCATTAGTTAATTGCAGCATCGGTGCCGTTCGTCACCTTCATGAGTCTCACCACGGCGGTGGGGATGAGATGCGGGGCTCTGCCGCTGCCCCCGCCCCTCGGCCAGGACCCCAAAGCCGCCCCCGGAAGGTCTCAGGGTGTGGGTTGCGCGTTTTTGGGGTGAAGACCCGCTGCTCTTCCCGGGGGTCCGGGCTGCTCCGCACAGCCGTGCCGGCCCGGGGGGGTTTGCGGGAGCCCGGGGCTGCGGTGAGCAGCCTTGGAGCAACGGGATGCCGGTGAGGAGGAACCGCCCGTGGGGCGAAGGGTGACTGCAGGCGGGATGAGGGATCGCTGCACGTGAGATGAGAGGATGCCGTTCGAGGGATGAGGGCACAGCGCCGGCAGAACCGGGCCCAGCACCCCCCGGCTCGGGCTCTGCCTCCGGCCCCATCCCCACCCCCGGCACCACCCCTCGGCTCCACCCCCGGCTCCGCTCCAGCTCCGGTGGCGGAGCCCCGTGCCCGGCGGGGGCTCGGCGGGTGCCGGCCGCGGGGGGGACCGCGATGCGCGGTGGGGGTCTCATCCTGCTCGGCCTCATCGCGCTGTGCGGGCGGCGCGGGGCGCGGGGCGCAGGTAGGGGCCGGCGCGGGGGGGGCGGGGGGTGAGGTCGGGGGTTGCGGGAACGGGGAGCTGCGTGGCCGTGGGCAGAGAGCGGCTCCGGCCGTGCCTATCCCGGGGCTGAGGTCGGGTCCGCGTGGCCCACGGTGCGTGGGATGCCCGCAGCCGATGAACCCGCCCGCGGCGTGGGGCTCCCGCACCCAAAGGGAGCCCGACCCGGAGCCGCAGAAGCCGTTCCCTGTCCGTCCGGGGGATCCCCGCGCGCAGCCCCGTTCCCCCGTGCTTCAGTTTCCCCTCCCAGAGGCGCTGGGAGCAGAAACCCAAAACCTCGGGGAGCTGCGGGTTCGGCCCCAACCCCATCCTCACCCCTGGTGCTCCGTCCCAGAGCAGGGCTGGGGAAGGCGCCGCTGGAGCGGGTGCTCCGAGTGGAGGGGGATCCCACGGTTAGGGATGTTCCCAGCTCGGTTCACCCCCCGCTCGTCCAGGGACGCTGCTGTGCCGCTGCTCCACTGCTGAAGCCCCGCGGCTGCTGTCATTCCCAAGGCTTCGTGCTCCTCTTTGCACACTGCTGTGGGGCTCTGGGCTGCTCTGGGGGCGGATCGGGGGCGTTTTGCCTCCATTCTGACACAGCTGTCCCCCTGCCCAGGGCTGTCCCCGTGCCTTTGGTCACCTCACATCCCTTCCCTGTACCCCATCATAGCGCTGCTCACTGGGGTTGGGACACTCGTGTCACCAAGTGCGTCACTGCTGGGGTCACATCCCACTGTGAGCTCCCTCTGACACTGCCTCGCTCCCCCCAGGACCCCCGGAGGGGCAGCGTGGAGCCGGGCAGCCCCAGGGGACTCACATCAGCCAGGACCTGGTGGGACGCAGTCTGGTCATCGACACACTGCTGGACAACGAGACTCGCATTGTGGTGAGCTGGGTGGGGGTCCAACCCTGCACAAACCAGAGCTATTTCCATTCTGGTGGAGCCTCTGGCTCTGGTTTACTGTGTGGGGCCGGATCCTGGCAGCACAGGGGGTAATTAGAGCCTGGGCAGAGGCGGCTGTGCCCAGGGGCACCTGGGGGTCAGCACTGGGGATGCTTTGCCACGTTGCTGTGCTGGGGGGCTCTGGGGGTCTCTATGGGGAAGACTCCATCGTGTTACCGAGTGGCAGCGGTGTCACCTCTGGGGGTAGCACTCGGTTCTCACCTCCTGGCTGCACCTGATTGCTGCCTACAGTGCACTCACTGCTGTCTGAGGGGGGCAGGGGGTGTGGGGCGCATTCCCTGCCATGAGGGTTCCTACTCTGTTGAGCTGTGAGTGATTCCAGTGTTTTTGTGGCAGCTGAGTGTGTGGATTCGGGGGGATTAATTCTCACCGTGCAAGGAGTTGCTCTGGGGAAAGGGACCCCAGGGGGAGCTCTGCAGGGTCCCACCGACCCCTGCTGGGGCTGCAGCTCTGTGCTCTGGGACAGAGGGAGTGGAAGTGTTTAAAAAATAGGGGAAAAAAAAAACAAAAGCAAACCACCAAATCCTGACCGGGGAGGTGAGATTGTTTGCGTGGCTCTGGAGAGGACATTTCCTGGGGCTGCATGGGTTTGGGGTCACTGCACCTCACCCCATGCAATGCAGGCTCCGGGTGCAGCAGCTCTGTGAGTTTCCATGCGGTTGAGCATCCGAACTCCCTCCTAATTGCTGCTGTGACCAAAGCAAGGTGGTGGGCTCGGGCATCCTGGTGACTCAGTGATGAGCTCAGGAACTCGGCAGCCAAATGCTCTGTGCTGCCCCAGCTCCTCCGCTCCATCCCAGCTCCTTCCAGTAACCCCCCAGGGCTACTGGGAATGCACTGGAATCCGCCGGCTGTGGGGCTCTGTGTGGGGGTTCAGCCCCTGGACACCCCACATCCTGGGGTCCAAAAAGCCACATGTCCCATGCACCGGGACACAGTGCTTCCAGCACAGCCATCCCCTTGCCTCTGTTTTCCATCCCTGAGCTGCCTGGCACCAGGATTGGCTGTTGGAGACTTTTGGAGACTTTGGTGCCTTTATTTGCTCCTCTTCTTGAGGTCACTGCAGCCATAGCTCCCAGCCCCTGGCTCCAAAGCAGTTATTCCTTCCCAGGAAGGCTGCATCTGCTGTGCTGAAGTCCCTCATGAGTCACATCTCCCTCCTGCCAGCGCTGCGTCGGACTCGTGGTTCCTCCACTCCTCTCCAACTGCTCAGCCCCTGCGCTGCTTCGCACGGGGCGTTTCTGTTCCACTTCCATTGCTCTGCACTGAGATGGTGCCCCTGTGTTTTGAACCCCTGCGGAGATGCATCCCACGGTGCTGATTCTGTCCCTGTCCCCACTGCAGGAGGACAACCACAGCTACTACGTGTCCCGCACCTATGGGCCAGGGGCTGCACGCCGCCAGGGGCTGTGGGTGGACATGGCAGCAGCTGATAGCAGCCACGTGAAGGTCCACGGGATCCTCTCCAACACCCACCGGCAGGCCTCGGTGAGCCTGGGGGGTCCCAGCTGCCATCCATCCTTCCCATGGCAGCATTGGCTGCCCTGTAGCCTGGGGGGAGGCATTTGGTTCTCCCCAGCCCCATCGCTGTGGGGCAGAAGGGGATGAGCCGTGGGGGCGGGGTGCTCCCTCCCAGCCCTCCATCTGCCAGCCTCGGGGGTTGCTCCGAGCTGGGGGTGCCCAGCATCCCCATCAGCTTTCCCACTTTCCGGCTGCTGTCTTCACTCCGTCTCCCTCCTGCAGAGGATCGTCCTCTCCTTCGATTTCCCCTTCTACGGGCATCTCCTGCGGCAGGTGACCATAGCAACTGGAGGTGAGTGGGGCCGGGGACCCAGGGTTGGGCACGGGCACTGAGCTGAGCCCTCTGCTCTGCTCGCTCAGGTTTCATCTTCATGGGGGACGTCATCCACCGCATGCTGACGGCCACGCAGTACATCGCGCCGCTCATGGCCAACTTCAACCCCAGCTACTCCCGCAACTCCACCGTGCAGTACCTGGATAATGGTGAGCCAAGAGAGGGGTGAGGGTGTGGGGAAAGGGCCTGGGGATCAACGCAGGGTGAGGAGAGGTGAGAGGAGTGATCCACTGTGGTGTCCCCCCCAGGCACGGTCTTTGTGGTACAGTGGGACAAGGTCTACCTCCAAGGGAAGGAGGACGTGGGCAGCTTCACCTTCCAGGCTGCCCTGCACAGCAGCGGCAGGATCGTCTTCGGGTACAAGGAGGTGAGGGAGAGGGTCTGGGGACCGAGGTGCTGTGGGGCTCAGTGGGGCCGTCTCCATCTCACCCTCACCCTGCGCAGATCCCGGTGCCCGTCCTGCAGATCAGCGCTGCGCAGCACCCCGTCAAGGCCGGGCTGTCTGATGCCTTCATGGTCCTCAACCCATCCCCCGAGGTGCCGGGTGAGTGCCATCCCCTGCCCCCGTGTCCCACATCCCTGGGGGGGGCAGCTCCTGTGGGTTGAGTGCGCTGTGCTCCTCCCCAGCCTGCAGCCCTGGCCCAGGGGTGCTGTGCTCTGCAGTCTCTGCGCTGCTTGCATGTTAGCTGCAGTCACCCTGTGGGCATCCAGCTGCGAGGTTGGGGCAGAGCAGCACCCATGGGAGAGCAGAGGGATGAGATGAGCAGCTCGGGGTGCTGCCCTCCCCCCCCAGAGCACAGCACACACTGGGCAATGCGCGGCGCATGCCAGCAGGATGCAGCACATGCATGTGTGTGCACACTTGTTGCACGTGATGTAAGCTCCAGTGCCAGCAGGACGCAGCACACACGTGTCTGCACACGTGTCCCACACGTGACACACGCTCCAGGCACGGTGCGAGCCGGATGGAAGGGCTGCTGCAGCCTCTCCCTTCCCCTCCTGTACTCCAACCACGCTCCTCGTGCTGCGCCCCGCGCCACACTTTGCTCGTTATTTCTGGAGCCAACCATCTGGCCCTCGTTTATTACCCATTCACAGCAGTTTGCACGGAAACCTCAGGGGCTGCTGCCCCCCTCCCCATGGGCTCCTAGGGAGCAGCGAGGGATGAGGGAGGGAACGGAGCTGGAAGGGAGGCAGGGATGGGGATGGGCTGAGCGGGGCTGGACCGCGTCCGCCTTGGAGTCCTCTGGGGAGAGGGAGCAGAGAGCTCCCAGCTGCTCATAGAGAAGTGAGGAAGGGGATTTCCATGCCCTGAACCCCCAGTGTTGCTGCTTGGCTTCTCGTGCTGGGAAGAACCCCAGTGGCAGGGGGTGGCTGAGGGGGGGCTCACATCTAAAGCAAAGCTCCCGCTGCAGAGTCGCGCCGCCGGACCATCTATGAGTACCACCGTGTGGAGCTGGACACCAGCAAGATCACCAACATGTCTGCTGTGGAGTTCACCCCGCTGCCCAGTAAGCCATGGGGACAGGGTGGCACTGGGGCTGTCCCACGGGGCGCTTCGTGGGCACCGTGTGGCTCCAGCATCCTGTGGCTCACATCTACACGCGTGGGGGAGAGCAGTCCATGGATATGGAGAGGGAAATATGTCTGTCCTGGGCTCACCATGGAGAGGAGGATGCTTACTGCTGGGCTGGGAGCAGCCTGGTCCTGCCACGTGCTGCAGACACCTCCCAGCCTATTGCTGTGCTCTCTCTGCAGCTTGTCTCCAGCACCGGAGCTGTGAGATGTGTGTGAGCTCCACGCTGACCTTCAACTGCAGCTGGTGCCACGTCCTGCAGAGGTACTGGGATGGGTCACTTCTGCCTTTCTTCTTGCTGGAGATGTTCCTGTAGCCAGGACAGCACTCTGCGCTGCAGGGCCGATCTCTGCTGTTGCTGAGGGGTTTTTAGTGGTTTTCCCTTTTTTGTGTGGCTCACGGTCGGTGGTTTGGTGGTGGCCTGACCTCAGGGCACAAGTTGGAGGAGCCGCTTCCCAAGGGTGGGGCTCAGTCCCAGGGCGGTGGTGCGGAGCTGGGACAGCAGTGGGATGGATGGATGCTGATGTCAGCGGGATTTGGGTGGGATCCACTCCATGCTGGGGCTGGGATTTCGACCAGATTGAGTTCAGGTCCCAGACATCGAGGGACTGCGATGCCCCCGGCCGTGAGGACAGCCCCTGACCCAGGGATGCTGCTCTGCCCTCCTTCAGCCACAGCAGGAGAGCCACAGTTGAGGCTGTGCAGCACCGGAATGTAGAGCTGGCAGCAGGGGAGGGGACCCACTAACACAGATCCTCGTGCACGGTGCAGGGGCTGCTTCACCCAGCCCTGCTCAGGCTGCATCCTGGCTGTGCGCCCATCACACGTGCAGCGATTCCATGAGGCCTCAGCAGGGACAGGGGAGGGAGGGCTGGGGGCACCTCGTGCGGTTTGCTGCCTCTGCTCTTATCACCCCTGGGATGGTGACAACTCGCCGCCCGGGGGCTCCCAAAGGCCACAGAGCTGCCTGGGTCCCTGTTTCTGTGGCTGGTGCTTCCCCGACATCATTTATAATTTCTTTAATGTGCTTTTCCTGCCCAGATGTTTCTGGGGAAAGGAAAAAAAATAATCCACAAACAAACCCTTCTGGAGCTCACGGCCTTGGCGCAGAGCGCAGGGAATGGAAACTCACGCTGTCTCTGTATCTTTTTCCTATCTCTCTGCTTCTCTGTTTTCCTTGGAGAAGCAGCGCTGACCATTTTCCACCTCCGTCAAGAGGAACGTTTGGGTCCTTCCAACACAGCTGCACTGGAATCCCCACGGCTTGCATGTAACCCTTCCACCGCGCCGTTCCTCTCACTGCCGCTGCGGCATTGCTGGGCATCTCAGGGGCTGCATTGGAGCAGCAGACGTGCACTGCTGCTCACTCCATTGCTGCTCTGCATCCCAACCTGCTGGGTTTAATGTCCCCTTTCACTGCAGGTGCTCCAGTGGCTTTGACCGGCACCGTGAGGAGTGGCTGTCCTATGGCTGTGCCCAGCAGGTAGGGCTGGGGCTCCGTGCTGGGAGTGGGGCTGGGTGACAGCAGGCACATCCCGGTGCCAAACTGCACTCTGAGCTCTGCTCTGCCACAGGATGCACAGAATGTCCCTTCAGGTTGCCCTGCTCTGCTACAGGACGTCCTTGCATAGCAGACAACCCCCCTTCCTCCATGGGGAGAGCCCAGAGATGCCCCAGCTGTGCTCCACCTCCCAGAGCACACAGGGCTGTTGGCTCCTCTCCTCCCTCCATGTGACTCCGATCCCCTCTAAGAAAGAAGGAGTCGGCCTTTAGGATTTGATGTATTTTTTTTTATGTCCTTGTCAGCACATCTCCACGTTGTCCAAAGTTGTTTCTTTGTCTTGGAAAGATCTGACCAAACATCTGTTTCTGCTTTGGTGTTTTGTTGTTTTGGTGATTTTGCTTTATTTTTTTAATAATATATATTTTTTTCCGTTTTTCCTCACTGAACACTCATCCTCGTTCTCTGTTTACCAAGAGAGAGGGAAAATGAGGTCACGGGACCGACGCTGAGGGCCTGTGATGCAAGCAGGGCAGGCTGTCACCAAACCTCCACCCCCCCCCCCCCCCCCCCGCCCCCCCCAACCCCTCCCCCCCCCCCCCCCCCACCCCAATTTCTGCCCCTTCTGGGCTGTATCCCACCTCCCAATCCTTCTCCAGCCCCACGGCGATGCCTCCAGCCCCGCTGTGTCCCCCCAGGCAGCCGCCAAGAGCTGTGAGGACTTAGCAGAGGACGACCACTACTCGCCCCCCCCCGACGGCTCCTCCTCGCCGCTGGATGAGGACATCACCACCCCCACGGCCTCGCTCTTCATCGACAGCCTCACTACAGAAGGTGGGACGCTGTGGGAGCGACGATGCTCTGAGGGTCGGGGCTGGCAGTGGTGCAGCAGAGCTGTGTGATTGCTCGGGAGCACGGAAAGCTCCAAATAAAGGCCCCCGTTTCCCCCGAGACGCCCCTGTGCTAAAGCTTGATAATCCCATTAACGCAGGGCTCGCTCCTCGGCAGGTATCGCTTCAATTTTGCTGCTTAATAGTCCCTAACGCAAACTGCTAATTAGAATAAATAGAAAGGAACATTAGTAATTGTCCTTCGGCGATGGGAAGGAGCTGGGGGGGAATGGAGCGCGGGGCTGACGGAGCCGACTTTGAGAGGAGTGATGGGAGGAGGGGGGAACGCGACTCCACCAGTGAGGTTATTTTCCAACTCCACGCCGATTCTTGGAGAAAAGAACAAGAGCCTTTCTGTGACACAGTCAAGCGTGAAGTTAATTTGTAATCTTGGAAGCAAACAAACAGCCAGCTGCACCGGGCAGCGAATTCGACGGGAGCGGAGCAGCGGAGGGACGATGAGGATGGGTCCCCACCCCTCTGCGTCTCCCACTCTGTGTCCTTTGGAGAGTCCCAGATCTGCAGTGCTGGCCCAGAGCTGTGGCCCACAAGGGGCTGAGCCCCGTCCTCGTGCAGCCTGGTGGCTCTTGAATGAGAGGGAAAATGGGACCGGGCATCGGACCCCCACAGGGAACATATATGGAGCAACAGAGCCCCCCAGGTCGGGTGGGGAGTGCCGGCAGCGCAGCCAAGTCAGCCCAGTTCCCCTCGTTGCTCTGCCTTGCTGAGTTCCAGGGCTGCTCCCCAGGTGTCTGTGCTGCAGGTGGCACCTCTGTAAAGGAGGGGATGCCAAGCAGTGCGTGCTTATGGTGGCATTTTATTGCTTGGGGGGGGGTCCTTCTCTCCCTTCATTTGGAAATGCTGGGGGTGGGTGCTGGCAGTTCCCCAGTACAGAGAGGAGCACAGAAAGCATCTCAGCAGGCTGTTAACTATTTTTGCCCCTCGTTTCTTCTTTCAGACGACACGAAGCTCAACCAGCACGCAGGCAGTGAAGGTAAGGCCCCGCCGTGTCTCTGCCTGGAGAGCTGTGATCAGTCAGCAGGGTGAAATGGGGACTGCAAAGATGCAATCAAGATAAGAATCTGACTGTCCTTCCTCTAATGAATACTGCTTCAGGTTGTGTAACGTGAGAGCTGGGGCTGATCTGTTTTACCCTGATGCCTTTGTCTGCACTTCCCACTTTTCTTGGTGAAGGAGGACTGTGAGCTTTCTCTTTCTATGCAACTCCCTTTCTTTGCTTTTACACCAGGTCTTTTTCCTTCTGAATTTCCCCAGCTGTGCCAAAGGGCGCTGTGAAGTTCAAATGTAAGCTGTCCTTGCTGTGAGCCCAGCTCTGCCTCTTTCATCTCTGTTCCCCTCAATTGCAGCAGCTGACTCTTCAGCCCGGTGCAAAGCAGAGCCCAGCCCTCTTCATTGCAAGCAGCTCCTGGAAGTTAAATTGGCTAAAAAGTGGGTGCAGCATCAGTGCCAGTGCAGGCACGGGGCCTTTGAAACACATGAGCTTCCCAGGCTCAGCCAAATTGCTCCCCGAATGGCTGGTAATGTCACTGCTGATCTATGCCACATACAGGCTCTGGAGCTCCGTGCAATGGAGTATCCATAGCTGAGGGCCAGGGTGAGCTGCAGGGCTGTGGGTAAGGGGCTGAGCAGCCCCCAGCATATGGCTAATGGCTTTCTGTCTGAGCGAGCAGCCAATGTACGAGGAACAGAGATTGGATGGAGGGGTGAAATATTACACGGTCATCGTTTAATCCTCTTCCTTTGCCAGCTGTTGGTTTCATCCAGGAGGGATGCTGGAGCTCAGCCCCCAGCTCTCCATGCATCTCTTGTTGAGCCAGGCTGGGTGCTCAGCCTCAGTGCAGGTCTCCAAGCATCCTACCTTGCTTTTCCTGAGCCCTCAGCCCACTTCTGAGCCCAGCTGAACCCTATTTGCAGGTGTGGGAAGCGACCTTCCTTCCGATGAAGTGGGTGCCCCGATTCACACCGGGACGATCGTGGGCATCGTGCTGGCTGTGCTGCTCATTGCAGCCATCATCCTCGCTGGGATCTACATCAACAGCCACCCCACCTCCAACGCTGCCCTCTTCTTCATCGAGGTGAGTGGGGAACTTTCTCTGGTCCCATCCCAACCCTGCAGAGCACAGAGGAGAGGATGTGGGTAGATTGCACACCTGAGGCTCTTAGCATCATCCTGCAGTCACAGCCAAGTCCCAAACGCTTTAAACTTAGGCTCATTCCCACCCACGCTGCTTTATTTTGCGCTCTCAGGTGCTTCCATTCACACCTTGCCTTTTCTCCCCATTCAATCTCAGCCTCTCCTGCCTGCTCGCACCAGCAGTTCCCCTGTCTGGGTTTGCTGCCTTTTCAGTTGCCCAGCTGGATTTTGTCAACTAAAATTGTCAGGCTTTGCTGATAGATGTCATGCCATCAGCTGCTGTGGCAGTGGTGGTGCGAACGCTCAAAATGGCAGATTTTAATTCTCAGGAAGATGGGGGGTCTGACAATCTCCATCTGCTGCTAAAAGCCCGAGGAGTGCAGGGCAGCAGCAGGCTGAGTCCTGGCACAGGAGCCATGATGCAGAGCCCTCACCTCTCCTTGTCACCCACTGCCTTTTTCCTCAAGCACTCATCTCTCCTCCGTCTGTCCCAGCTGCAGAGGATTGATCTGTGGCCTTTATCAGTTCAGCACCTGACGATGTTTGGTGCATTTATCCTTGCAGCGCCCAAGCGGGATGCAGTGCAGCTGTCCCTGTGCTGCAGATGGTGGAGAGGTGCAGGGGTGACCCTCTGTGGCTGCCCCATCCGTTCCCCATAACAGCACGCCCTTGTTCTGGCATTGATGTGGGATCTCCCTTTCAGTTTCCCTCTGTTCTGCTCCCTCTGTTCCCCCTGTCGGGGAGATGCTCAGTGAGACTGATGCATTGTAACAAACTCTTTCGAGCATAAATCGTTCTTTCCTTTTCCAAACTCTCACAAAGATAGCATTGTTTCGGGGCTGAGCTTTGAGTTTCCGGCAGGCTTGGCTTGAAATGCTGCTCACAGCTTCTGATGGCTTTTTGTTCCTGTCCACAGCGAAGGCCGCATCGTTGGCCTGCCATGAAATTCCGCAATCACCCCAACCGTGCCACGTACTCCGAGGTGGAGGCAGGCAGCCATGAGAAGGAGGGCTTCGTGGAAGCAGAGCAGTGCTGAGCACTTCTCTCCCTGCACCTCTGACCTGCCACGTCTCAAGTGTTGGAGTCTCCTGTTACCCTATTGCAAAGTCTTTCCCCTGGTGGAAAAGAAACAGCAAGTCGAGGAAAAAGACCCAATGGAGCATTGAAGAGAAGGAGTCGGGGCTCTTTCCTCTCCCAGCCAAGCACCAGCTTCTCTTCTCTGCTCTGGAAGAAAGGAAAACCTGTTTTGTTTTAAGAGCAAAGCCCTTCTAAGGATTCACCTTCAGAACGTTTGTGAGCCGTTGGCTCTGAGGCACTTTCTGCCATCCAATTAGTTTGCTCAGTTACAAGCTGTGACTCTTACCCGAAAGGAACCAGAGGCTGAAGGGAAAAATCACCATCTTGGGTTCCTTCAAAACATCTTCGTGGCCACACATCAGCAGGAGCAGGGGAGGTTTTGCAGGCAGAGGATGGGGACGGAGCTCAGCCATGGTGACACCCAGAGGTCAACCCACGCTCACTCATGGGAGCTTCCCATAATTAGCAATGAAGGCACACGTGCCTCGATAGCAGTGCAAATCTGAACAACGCTTCGTTATCATCCTCGGATTTGCAGCCTGCTGAAGTCAGTGGATTTCCTACGACTTCTTTTTGCTGTGTCAGTGATGGGCCCTTGGTCTGAACCCACGCTGACACCATGATTCCAGAATCCAACCCTCTCTGAGGGGCTCAGCTCTGCACCTCCTGGGCAGTTCTGCCCTCTGTGCCACCCGGCTCATGGCAAGCTGCAGCAATGCTCAGCCTGCTTCCATCAGTGCAGGACTGGGTCCCAAACTGGGGAGAGGTGGCACGAAAATGAGAGAGAGAAGGCCAAAGTCCAACGTCAGGTACAGTTTTCTTCCTCCTACCAAAAAAAAGAGCATTGGTTATATGGGTTTTTTGGGTTTTTTTTTCTCCTTATCTTTTGATCCTCTGTTATTTATTCTGATATCATCTTTGAAACGTATTTTATCCACTGGCTGGTTCGGCTGTCACCGGTGGCGATGGCTGCCAAAGGCAGGGTCTGTCTAATTAATGTTTTCCTTCTCATCTGCTGAATTTATATAGCCATTAAGGATAAATATGGATGCTTTGTGGCATTTAGACCCTAGATTATACTTCCTCATACGTAGCCACGAGGGAGACTTTTGCTGCATCTTATTATGGCATAAAGGCACCAAATGCTTTCACAGGGTAAGCCAGGCTGGGTCGTGCCGAGTTGTTACGACCCAGGCAGTCTCTCTTTAGACGTATTTTGAAGACAAACCTTATTTCCAAATAAAGCTTTCCATGGGAAGGTTGTTTGTTCCCCTGTTTCCCTGAAGTAGAAAGAATTCAGAGGAACGCTGTCATTTCGTTTTTGCCCCGGATGGTTATGAGCTGGTAAGGAATTTTCTCTGGATTTCCACCTCCTCAAATAATGGCCTTATTGGTAGTGATTTCCTTAGCATGCACACACAACAACAACCAGGTTTTTAGGTATTCCTCTTCCCCCACAGCCCCTAAGATGCTAGGTAACAGCCAACACGTCTGAAATGCTGCACGTTTAAAAGAAAAGAGACTTTAAATGGAGTTCGATGGAGCTGTATAAATCACTGCAGCCAGAACCTTGAAAGGGTTCCAAAGAGGATCAGATACTCAGGTGGAGAAAAACAACATCCAAGTGCCATAGCATGGAAGTGATTGAGATACGTGGAGCGCGCTGCAGGACTGATGTCAAGTTCTGAGTGCCTGCAGTCAGAAAGGCTTCATTTTTTTGTTGTTTCTTTTCTTTTCTTTCTTTTTTTTTTGTCCCCTCCTTAAAGCAAAGCAGCCAAACCAAAGCAGGCTGTGCTGCGTGCTGTCAGGTGTGTGCTATCAGCTCGACCTGGGGCACAGCAGTGAGGCTCTGCCTGCAGCCATGCCCTGGGCAGAGGCTGGGGTCCTGGCAGGGAGCGCGCAGCTCAGCAGGCCGTGCTGTGCCACCCATCCAACCTTCCAGGAGCTCTGGGTGCTCGGAGCTCACACCTGGGAAGCCCACGAGCCAGCAGGCACCGACCTTCTGCATTTCCTTTGCACGTGGCTTTGTCATGGAAGAGGTCGTCTGTTAAAACCCAGCTGTCACCTTGCTGTTGCCTAGAAGAAAGAGAGCGATGTCTCTACCAGCACTGCTCTCCTGCTGGCCCTGTGTGTCCCATCACCAGCCTGGGACAGGGGCTCATCCTGCCCTCAGGTGCTGAAGAACACAGTGAGGACAACCAGGACATGAAAAGCAAACCCAGAACCTTTCCATCACGGCTCCTCTCAAGAACTGAAGGCCTACCTTCCACATACTTGAATTTACAGCACAGTCGGACTCTTTAGGGGGACTAAAGGCACTTTAACTGTCTTTCAATGCAATGTATTTACTGTGGGTTATCTGCATGGAATATAGTCTTAATATTATAAAAAAAAAAATCTTCCTTTTTGGACTGCTTTGTTTTCAAATTAAGGATTATTGGTTATGTTTATGCAGGCTTGGAAGCACAGCCTGAATTATTTTCATCGTGTGTGCTTTTAAAGGCCTCTGTAAGAACACAGAGACCTTTTCTAAAGGCATTTGGGTTTCAGTAATAGCACATCTTATCAGGAGGTGTTCCCAGGACGTATCAAGGATAAAAGGGCTGTAATTGAGGTTTGCACCAAGGCTGTAATTTTCTTCTAATTTTATCTGCTCAACTTGTTGAGGATTTTAGAAGCCTTTTCAGCTCAAACAATGAGATTTGCCTGTTCCATCCAACTTCCTCTAGTCAGGTTTAGTGTTTTGATCCCTGCCCTTGCACCAAAGGATTCCATAAATGCAAATCACCTTCAAAATCCCTGATCTGAGAGCTCTGGTTCCCACCTCCAGCTCTGGGCTCTCTTCACTGCTGCAGGAGAACAAATCAACACCATGGATTAACAGAAGGGTTATGAACCAACCTTCCCGTGCCCCCCATCCCGTTTATCCCCCTCCCCGGGTGCCTTTTCCAGCTCTGGGAGAACGGTGCTCCCACGATACAGCCATAAGGGAATGGAAATGTGAGCAAAGATCTCCACCAGTGCCACGTTCTGGTTATTTTTATGAGCAGAGAAGTAGCAGATTTATAATTGGAACACAGACAGCGAGCAAACACTTTATAATGTGCAAATAAGGGGAAAAAAAAATGTAAAAATCAGCTCTCCTAAACAGCTTTCACACCAAGCATCACCCCCAAAGCAGGGAAAAAAACACTGCAGCCATCCCACAAACAAAGGGTTCATGTCTTGGAAATGCAAATGCAAGCGCAGGTACTGAGCAGGCTGAGCCATAATGAATGGCTGTGAAGCAAGCAGGGAGCAGCCTGCTGCAAAAGGGCCCTGGGGTGGGGGAATGGAACCCTGAATGGAGGCACGGCTCTGGAGCTGCACTTTGTGAGAGCCACAGAATGAAGCTGTGGTTACAGCTGGGAATACTGGGGCTCCTGAGGTCTTTGCTTCGTGTTAAACGCCTGCGACTTGGGTTTCCTTGTCTAGAAAGCAGGAATGGGAATCATTTCCTTTCTCACAAATTGTGAATTTGCTAGCAGTAATAGTAAAACAAAAGCAAAGTACTTACAGATGCTCAGGAGTGGTTTTCAAGGGGAAAAGCATTACTTGCTTAAGTGGCAGCAAGCACCACTCGTGTGCCCATCTCAGGAGGTGGCTGTTTCCATAACCCCCCAAAATCCATTGGGAATTCACCTTTTTCTACACCCCCACAAAAGAGAATCAACAGATTAAACAGGGATGAAGACGTGTGCATGGGTAGGGGTTTGGTAATGAAGAACATCACTGCAGAGGCTGACTTCTCACACACCTCCCTCACACGCTTCGCCCTCTGCTGCAAAAATCACTCCCACCACTGCTGTTACATTTCTGCTGCACGCTTCACCCAGAAAGATGCCAGGTTCCTGCATCAGCAATGCTTGTAGCACATCTCCCTGCTGCTGGGGGAACGGCACTGGGCTCTGAGCACAGCAGCACTGATTGTGCAGAGACACGAGGCAGCAATGCAGCGTGGCAGCAGAGGTGGCTCAGAAGGGAAGAACAGATCGAGGTGCATCGAAGGTGATCATCCAGACTGAGGTGTACCATGGAACCCTGAGATTCACCACCTTCTGGCTCAGCAGAACACTCTCTCTTCTCTTTAACAGGAAATGGGTTCTGTTTCTCATTTCCAAAGGGAGGACAAGAACCTCCCAGCGCTGCGCTGCCAGAATGGAGCATTTCCACCCAATGCCACCCAAATACCCATGGAAGATCAATTTCCTGCATCATCAATGCACCCCCCCTATGGAAACAAGGATGTTCTTGGTGCTTCTTCAAAGGAATAATGGAACTCACCAATATGCTCTGTCCAAAAAAACTGCTAAGATGATAAAGCAGGGCTGCACTGGCTGCAGTAACTTCCTCTCAGCCATGAAGCTTCCCATGGCTCCAATGGATAATTATCTCCATGTTGTGCTGACAGGTTCCCATCTGTTTAGGGCTGAACACTGCATCTTAAAAAGAAACAGAAAGGAAGAGCACCAGTCACACGCTGACAGGTTTGCTCAGCTCTTCAGAAAACCCAAGGAACACGATTGGAGATGCTAATTAATTCCTGGTAATCCACTTCTCTTTTTGTGTGTGTCCGTATCCATTTCAGTGCAAATGGGGAAGATGCAGAAAAGCCAAAGATGGGAACAACGTAAAGATTATTTCTAGGGAAGGAGCAGACAGGAAGGCTTAGAGATCAGCTCAGGGAATGCTGAGGTGTGAGGCGAATCCCAGATATCCAACCAAGGATGAGCAACGTGCACAAGGGACAAACCTGAGCCCTTCTGCATCCACCTCGTGCTCCCTCAGCCCGTTTCCTCTATCTGAACACTCGGCTCAGGGCTGCCATGCTGTTTCCAAGTGACCCCGAGGAAACCCTCAGCCCTCCTGCTCCACTTGGGTGAGGGCAGCCCTCCTCCACAGGGCTCCTCGAGCAGCTTTAAGGCACACAGAGCAGTTGGAGACCCTTGGCAGAAAGGCAGAGTAGGGGGACAGAGCATTATTAACTCCTCCCAGCTGCAACCACTGCCCCAAAGCGAGGTAGAAGAGAGAAGGAGAAAATGGCAAGTCCTGGCATTCAACCCATTCCTGCCCTCCTTCCTCACAAGCTCCAGACTACGGCACTTAAAACCCAGCGACAAACAAGGACAGATGGAAATTCCAGGCAGTGGGAAGGCTCTGCTATGCTTTTCTGTAGCCCTAAGCGTCAGCAGGATGCCACTCTGTTCTGATATTGCAGCGAGGACGCAGACGATGCAGCACCACCAGCCAGGATCAGAACACCAGGCCAGGTGTCATCTCGACCACTCAGTGCATGGAATGCATTAAGTAAATACTCGTAATTTGTTCTCTGTTTACCTATTTGGTCGTGTTTTCGATTCTCTTTGTTTCTTTAAATTCCTGCACAAATCCCATCCATATTGCCGTGTTCTGTAAGCAAGATAACATGAAAACAGGACACTGCATTATCAGAATTCATCTTCTCGGCAGATCCAACAGCTCCAGAGGTCTGGGCCAGGACCCTGGGATATGCACACAGCACTGCCCCTCTCAGACCTGTGCCATTCATCAGCCTTCAAAGAGAACTGCAGACCCAAGAGGACACGGTAATGTGAATTCATTGAAGGGATTGCACAAAACAGGGCCTCCATCCCCTCCTCATCCTTGCACACCGCACAGAAGAGCTGGATGAACCAACCGCCCCCTGCTAATTGCACGCTTCTGTCATCCCACCCTGAAGCACCAATGCTTTTCTGCTCAGGGATCCCCAGCCAACCAGATGATTTGCACCTGGTTATGTGTTTAAATACTGATATTATCACAGGGTTCTGCAGTGTTTGCCTTGAATGTGTAATGATGGAGAACTGCGTTGTTCTCCTGGGGCCAAAAATTCAGACCATGGATGAAGGAATTTAACAGCACGCTTGAACACAGCATTCCCATCCACCTCGCAGCTTCCCATGACTGCAGCAGCACCATTACCCTCCTTTCTAAAGCTCAATTGTACTTTTTCCTTATTAGCTTTCATCCCGTCAGCCCAAAGCAGCTTACAAACATCAGCTGGGATTGCAGAACCTCAAATAACGAGGCAAACCAACAACGCCGTGACTCACTCAACCAGCGTAAAACAAACACAAGATAACGCCGTCACCACACAACGCGACTTCATTTCCAAACCTGGTGCCACAGTTGCTATCGTTAATTATGCCAGTCATTAAGTAGCTGGACATAGGAAGCCCTTAAGCCATTGCTAGGCTCCAGAAGGACACAGCAGAAGGAGGGCACTCCATATCCACCCCGAGCAGCATTGGTGCAAATGGACGCACGGGACAAGCTGATGGCCTGGCATCCCTCAAAAGCAGCTCTGTTACTATTTGAACCTTTCAGTTCTCTTTATCTTGCAGTCAGGAGCCGCTCAGCTGGAAAGCAGCCACCATTTTAGAGCTGCTCGGAGGTGAGGCTCACGGCACCGCGCTGAGGGGCTGGTGGGTGATCTCAGAGCTCTTTTCTAACCCTTATGATTCCAATAAAGTTCCAGAGGAAAAGAAACAGCAACAAACCAACACCCTCCCTCCCCACCCCCCTCAAAAAACCCCACACATCACCGTGCCAGCAGAAAAACACGTTGGGAGAAGAGCACAAAAGCAGCTGCAGCCCTCTGCTGCCATCGTATGGGAAGGAGCAGCACCAAGGCCTCTACCCAGGGCTCCAGCTGCCCTTCCCCAGAGAGATGCGGGTTTCCAGACAGCCCTGAGAAGAAATAACATTAAGAATCAGTTTGTTGGGGAGCACGGCTTGCTGCTTCAACAAAGCAGCGTCTCATGTGGTTTCCCGTCCGCGCAGCAGCACCGTGCCCTGTGACAGTGCCATGCAACAGGGCAGTTTGTAACCCCTGCAGCAAGGAAGGCTGTTAGCAGGGGCAGACGGTGCCACGTTGCTGCTATAGGCAAACCCAGCAGCCTCCTGCGAGGGACGCACGTGGAACACACCGTGCGTTTGGGGGATGCAACCGGGTGAACTCGGGGCCTCGCAGCAGCCACCCACTGCAATTTGGGGCCGAGACGAGGACAGCACGCATCTACAGCCACCAGAAAGCCGTGGCAGGGCTCCTCAGCCCGCTGCAGGAGCCGGGAACCGCACGGACCGAGCCGCCTCATGGCGCTGAGCTCTGAAATGGAGGCTCAACGGCAGTCTGGTGTTAATTATTCATGAGGGGGCGCGGCCACGAGAGAGACGTTGCTGTACAGTATGTTAATTAATGATGATGGAGGCGTGGCCACGCGAGAGGACGTTGTGTTGCACCGATTGATTATTCATGAGGGGGCGTGACCACGCGAGGACGTTGCTGGAAGGGGCGTGGCCTCGAATCAAACAGAGGGCGGGGCCCAAAGGGCGGGAAGGGCTCCGGGGGTTCTGGGCTGCTGAGGGGAAAAGGCGGGAAAGTAATTCCCGCCTGTAATTAGGAGGGGAAGATTATGGCCAACGCTTCCGAAGAGCTGGAATAAAACGCTTCAGCGCCCTCTGAAACGCCTGGTGTTACAAGGCTGGCCTTACAGAGAACCGGCGCCCTGAAAAGGGAAGTGTTTGAGCTGGGCCTCCAGATACACCGAATACACATTTGGGTTTAAGGAATAAAAAGACGCTGAAGCACACAAACACAGCCTGCCCCACACTGAGCCCCGCAGGCGCTGAGGGGCTCAAAGAGGGCAGCGAGGCCCGGCAGAATCGCGACAGAACGCATTTAGATGCGCGAATGAAGCGGGTTCTTTTCCCCTCCAGGTGTGTGGGGCGGCTCGGAGCTGTGGGAGCCCTGTGTGCTGCCCTGCGGCCTGGCGCTGCGCCTCAGCCTCAGGGCCCTGAGGAGCACCAATGAAAGGCCCAGCACAACCCGCCCAGCACCACGAATGGACAGAAAGTCATCACAACAACAATAATACTAATAATAACGAGGAGAGAAGCGGGTGTTTTCTTGCTCCCGTAGAGATTCCTGTGCTGTCGCTCCACTGCCGCCCTCAGACCGTCCCCATCGCAGCCGTTTGCTAATTGGGGTTTTTATTGCACTGCTTTGCGCCACCAAAGAGCAGCAATAAAAACACGCTTCCCACCAGCCGTCAGTCTGGGCCGCTGGGTAACAGCACTGACATCCACGGCAGTTTTTTTGCCGTCCCTCACTTGAATTCATGCACTTCCCTGAGGAGGAAAAGCAGTAAATTCCTGCTAATATTTGAGGCGATTGGTTTTATGTCACTGGCTGTGAGTGAGGGGAATGGAGAGGATCCAAACCAATCCCCAAAGCAAACAAGCTTTTGTAACAAGTGTTTGCCAAAGGCTAACAGGGGGCTGGGGAAAATATCCTGGGGCTGAAGGGCGTCCATTAGCAGGAATTTAGCGACTGCTTGAGGATGGGGAAGGTTGTATAGGAGATAGGAAGTTGATGCTTTCGGCCTTGTAAACAAATTAGGTTATAGCAACAAATAAGATGAACCTTCCTGGACAGTGCTATGGGTTGAGCTTGTTAAATATTTAACGTTTACCTTTCAATTTCCAGTCTCCATTAAGCAGTTCTCTAAACAAGCGGAGTCCCAGCAGCAGATGGAGGTACACAGAGCATTGCATTGCTCTGGCTGAATTCCCTAAGAAATAAAAAACAAGCCAGAGAGGAAGCAAGGAGGAGCTTTTCTGTTTATCTGGGGGTGATTTCTTGAAGGTTCTTACAGGCTTCTTGGAAATTGCATCCATTTTCTATCTTTGGCTTAAGCAAAGCCAAGTGAAACATTCATTCTGGTGCAGATACATTTGCTTCTGGTGCTTGCGGAGCTACAGAATATAAGCAGTCTGTGCTAAGATTGTAACATAGCTAAACTAAAAATGTTTCCAGCAGTGCACGGCTTCCTCTCCTGGTCGATGCCGACCCCGCTGCCCTCAGCAGAGCCCATCTGTAACACTTCCACTGGAATGCCCCGCGTCCTTTCTGTTGTCAGTACAGACAGAGCTTCCATTGTGGACGTGGTGTATCACAGAGGCCCGGCCTGCATGCTTCAGCAATAAATACGAGGGATGTTTGGAACTTGTTTTCTGTAATTTTGGTAAATTTTTGATCTTTCAAACAACGGAGTCTATTCTCTGAGCACATTTCCCACTGACAGTAGCTGGGATGTTGCAGTGCAGCTTGGACAGACTCCAGTTGTGTTGCTACCAGCGCTGCCAGCTCTTCCAGTCACACAGCAGCGCTCATTCTCTTTGTCAGTTTCCCTGAGTCCTCATCTGTCAGAACCAAGAAATGGTGTTAAAAAAACCACACACACACAAAAGTTAAACGTTAAGATGCAGTGAATCACTGGGTCTTGCTGTTGGGCAGTGTGAGGTGCGCCTACCCCAGAGACTCAGAGCAGAAGGCAGATCAAAAGCTCAGCTCTTTCTCAAAGCTCACTGCTTTTTAGACCTTCGTTTGGGGAAAACCTGTGTCACTGAACCAGGCAATACTGTGCGGTTTCTTTGTACAGCACACGTAGTCATTACATTGAATTAAGCCACCTGTCAGTTTAAATGCTGCTGGAGATAGATAGTTTGCAGCTTTGTACCTGTAGTATTCTGGTTTGGTCGGATGTCAGCACGCATGTGTGCAATTAGCACTCTAAAGCAATCAAGAATTCTTCTGGTAACATCAATAACATCACTACCTCTGCTTTATTACTATTTATCCTGTTGAATAATCTGTGTGATCAGGTAAGGGAATGTTGTTGATGACTGCAACCTGTCTATTTTCCAACATTTATGCGGTGCACCCGACCGGGATTTTCACACTCCGCTGCTGTGCCAACAGCCATTTCCTCTTCTTACCTTTGGAGAGAATTTCCCCATCTGAAAATACGACTCTCCTGTTTTCTCCCCAGGATAAATGTGTGAGAGCAGCAGAACGATGGCCTCCATTGCAAGGACCAGCTGCACCTCCGCCCCAAACCAGAAGCACAGAGGCAGTAACCAACGCTGCAGGCGGAGCTGCTGCACTGTGGACACAGATTCCCAATCTCTGTCTACACTGGGATACTTTAAAACACTGCCATTAGAGATCTTCCAAATGCTGCTGAGCTATCTCTCAGGTGAGGCTCTGACAAAAGAGGTTTTTGTTTGCAATATCTGAGCATCACCACTTCAAAAGCCATTACTATTTAAAATGTTTTCCATTTCAGTGAGTTGAGGACATTTCATGTCACTCGTTGTCTGAATTTTCTGCTTTCAGGTCTGTGAGGAACCACGTTTCTAAAAGTCAAACGTAATTGCAGACTGTTGGAAACACTTTTTGCCTATTGTGTGACAAGTATTCCTTAGATCAATACACTGCTAATTAATCCCAGTCTGTTGGGAAATGGGTTAAGCAGAAATTAATTAATTAATTTCAAACTTCGTTTCTTGACCTGCTTTTGGAGTTATTGGCTGCTGATCAGCACTTTTCTTGCAGCAACGACTTACGCCTGGTTTTGCTCTTTCAGTGAAGGACATCAGTGTGCTGAGCATGGTGTCAAAAGCCATCAGCAACCGCCTCGTTAATTACATCTCAACCCCATCAGGAAACCGAAGGCTGTTACTGCAAGACTTCCATGACATCAAGCTGCCTGGCAAGAGGGATGGATCCTGCATAATAGAGCACTACAAATCTCTAGGTGATCCTAGAGCCAGTGGTAACGATTAGAGGGGACCCAAACTTGGTTGAAAGGGTTCTGCTCTGCCCGTTGGTCAGCAGGGCGCCGAGGGCACAGCCCAAAACATTTTGCAGCTCCCTGTGGAAGTGAAGTTCCTCACTGTGCCAAACGGCCCACATTGATACCATCAACTGGGGGGGGGGTTGCTTGAAATGATGCCAGAACCTCCCGGTGCTGGATAAATGCTGTGCATTCGGCCTCCTCCACCGTGTTTATCTTTATTTTTTCATATTAAATGGAAAGCAGAGGGGCTGGCTCTGTTCTCAATAGCAGGTTTTTCCAAATTTAGCTTATTTGGACACCGCAACTGGAAACTGCAGCAGAAAGCTGCAGGGCTCCCAGGCTCACAGGAGGAATGTGGCTGTTCAGACCGCCTGCCTGTGTCAGTTTGGAGTAGATTGCATTCCTCAGCCTGGGAAAATGCTGCTGCTGTGCTTAAATGCAGCCTGGTTCTAAAGCCACTGCCACCAGAGGGGCTGACAGCCTGCAGGAGATGCAGTGCAGAGCACATCCCACCTCCTGGAAGAGAAGTGTCCTCCCCACGAAAGCGTGGTCACAGCTGTCACTGCTGAGCTTTTCTCTTGGGCAGCCTTGTCACAGAGTTCAAAGGCTGAAATGGGCATCAAGAGCTCCTCCTCAGCCCCAGTTATGGGCAGTGCCTGCATTGTGGCTGTCATGGCATGCAGTGTGTGAACCAAAGCTGGGTGGAAAGGCTCATTAATTCTTTATTCAGCCTTCTTTTAGCACAGCCTCGTAGAAACCAAGATCCAAATGACATGGAGTTGCTGGTAGTGAGAAGCATTGTGCAGCCTTGTGTTAGAATTTGCTTTCTCACTTTTTCTGCTGGTTGTTTAAAGTGTTCATTCCAACTCACTCAGCCCACCACTGAGATGGAACACTTTCCATGCATGTAAAGCAGCCAAAAACTTCTTCACCCATCCACCGTAAGCATTAATCCATCAGACAGATTAGATTGGAACTTCATTTGACCCGTATTAACGGAGCTGATTAAAAAAAGTTGTTGCTCATTTGACAGAGAAATCAAATGACATGATGGCTAGATGTAGCATTACAGCTGTAAGTTTGGAGGCACACACAGGGCAAAAGAATGCAGCTTAGATCAAAGACATCCCATTGTAGGCAAGCCACGTAGACTGTAAGGTATCTTAAAATAATTTCAGTGCTTGACTCGTTTCTAAAATGAGGCTGATACCCTGAAGTTGTCGTTCTGTTGTTGTTGTTAATTAAAATTGGCTCAGGCATCGTAGCAACCACAATGTTGCTACGAATGGCAACTTGCTTGAATAGGGGTGTGAGCCCCACATCAGAGCAGGCTTAGCAACAAAAATACATCTCCTGTATCCACAGGTGATCAGCAGGAGGCTCAAGAGAACGTTTTGGTTAAGGGGTCAGGTACAAAATCAGTGTTTGCTTTACAGCAATTTGGCTCAGAGGGAAAAACCTTCCCTGTCCAGAGGGCTGCAGTCTGCCTGTGCTGCACGAGTCCCTTCAATTTTGGGGTCTGACAGCAGGACCTCAATGCTTCCAAGGAAAGAGCCCACAAAATGCAAAAAGCACTGTCTGACATTGGAGAAGTTTGTGGGAGATGGCAGCCCAGCACAAAGCACGAGCTTCTCTGCAGATTTCTTTGGTTCATTAACTGTGCCTGCCTTATTCTGACTTAAAGGTCTTTTCCAACCAAATTCTGGCCTTATTCTGACTTAAAGGTCTTTCCCAACCTCAATAACTCTACCACTCTATGTCTTACTCCAATAGCAGCTTCTGAAGAGCAAGCTGTCAAAAAATGCTTCTGAACATCCAGCTCAGGCAATGCAGTAACGATGTGCCAGTGAGGAACTCACAGCTGTGTTTATTTCCTTTGCAGGGCTGTTGCTTAAGAGATGCACCCTTCTGTTGCCTACCAAAGACAGGCTGAAGTACGTGCACAAGGTTCTCTCTGAAGTAAGCCCACCTGCTCTGAATCCTCGAGTTCCTTTACAGTGATTCGTGGTGGAATGGCCTCTTACTGTCCCTGTGCTGGAGGCCATTCCCACAGCACCATGAGTTTGAGTCCTGCACCCCTCTGATCCGTACACAAGGAACCGTGAGCATTTTCAGCCGCAGGAACCCACCTATGTTAATTACTGTTAATTATTGCTGTTCTGTGCTTACAGGTTTCCTGCTTTAAACTCAGCGGCTGTCCGAGTCCCCTGCACTGTGTAGGATTACAATGCTATGGGGTATTTTTGCAGGTATGGCATCTTCCTGGAGAGAAGGCGAGTATCACCCGAAAGAATTTGTTCTACCAATTCATCTGTGCTTTTGCAATATGCTGAGAAGCTTAAGAGTGCTTTAAGCTGGGTGGGAGGGGACAGCTTGCATTTATCTCGCATGAGAAGTTACATTTCTACCTAAACCTGCAGCTCAATCCATCCGTTCCCCCCCCCCTTTTTTGTGGTCTCCAGATCCTAATAGCAGGCTGGGATGAGTTGGAGTGTCACCGGGTCTTCAACTTCCTCTGTGAGCTCAGCAATTTGCCCCGTAAAGTGCAGGCAGTCGTCAGCTGCAGGCCAGGTAAGCAGCAGAGCAGCTCCTCCCAAATCAAAGCGCACCATGGAGAAGCCCCAAAATGGATCCTGATGGCTGCGATTCATCAGGACTGAGAGCAGTTCAACTCCGCCGAGCCTTGAGGCGCTGATCCTGATCCTGACTCAGTTTGTTAGCAGCCCTGCTGTCACACACAGAGCAGGAATCCTAAAGCAAAAACTTTGCCTTCATACAGATTCTTTTTTTTCCCCTCCAAAACGGAAGATCAGGCGAGATTTCATGAGAGCCACCCCTTTTTAAAGCTGATTTTCCCATTGCATTCTCAAAGCAGTGCGGTGTTACACACACACACAACTCCAAACATGGGCTTGGTGTCTCCTGCAGAGCACTGCCAGGGAAACTGATGAGAAAGCAGCCAGGAGAGAAGCGATGCAGCACCAATTAGATCTGCTATTTCTGAAGTCCACTTTGCAGGAGCTCTGCTGTTGGCCAGCACTGCCCTGGCTGTTCCTGTGGAACACTTTACACACGATTCCTCCTGTTTCCACTTACTGATTCCATCAGAGGGAAAAGATCAGAGGAATCAACCAGCAGAGCTGAACGCACGCTTGCAGGAGACGCTGCAGAGGGCTACCAGAGGGGGCACTGAATTACTGCAAGTTATCCAGAGGAGCCAAACTCAGCAAGAAACGGCTGAGAATCAGCGCCCCCTCCTTCAGAAATCCCTTCTCCCTCTGCCTGGCAGATGATCCCTGTGCTGTGGGAGGGACGGAGGGTTGATGCCTGTGTTTGTTCCCCCAGGAAGCGCCAGGAAGCTGGAGCTGAGGATCAGGCTGTTCTGCAGGAGCGTCCTGCTGACCCACTGGGCTCATCGTGGGGATTCTGCCTTCTGGTTGACTCGCATTTTAAAGCCGTGGCCAATGGTCAACCAAGCTCGCCTGCTGTACATCATCTTTGGGCCAGTGTCCCCCCTTGATGGCAAGTAGTTTGGGGGGGGGGGGTCACTGTTCAAAATGTCTCCCTTGAGAGCGAGGTTTCCTGCAGGGTGTAGCAATTCCCATCCCGGCTTTACGCCAATCCAATGTAATTGTATCACCTGGAGAAAAGTCTGCAGCTGCACGTGACAAACGTAGATGTTGAGTTACAGTTAAAGCGAGGGAGCTGCAGCCTGAGCAGAGCAGAGTCAGGCTGAACAAACCTCAAAGAAGCTCCTTGCTTCCCTCAAGAAAAACGCTTTTTCCCTGCTATTAAACCAGACTTTCTTTAAGTCACCCCATCCGCTGCTGCTGCAACCCCTGCAAAGCGATGGAAGAAAAATCTCCCTGTCACCAAGGCTGAATTACATTACCTGAACTCCCTTCCTCTGACTCTGCTCTAAGGCCCAGTTCCATTGGTTCAAAAAATTGCTGTGTGATTAATATTGCTCAGGACACGTGGTTTGGCAGAAGATGATAGAAGGACCAACAGATGAGACCAGTCTGAAAGGTTTAGCAGATGCCATTAAGCTCCTGTACGATGCAGAAGCAAGAGAGTGGACAGCAGACGATGTTATCAGCCTTGTGGATGAGCTGTCAGGTGTGTTTGTAGCTTCCTCATTAATCCACAGCATTGCATGCTCACAGCTTCCAGCATTAATTGCATTCCAGACACTCAGCGCCGACTGCAATATTCCTTGCAGTAGCTGAGGGGTGACTGGAAAAGCCATTAGGTTTGGAAGCTGAGGAAGAGAGAAACCCAGCTTATAAACCCAGGCTGTCTTTCCCCATTGTGAAGCAGTTTAAGAATCTGTGAAGACCTTTAAAATCCAAGCCCTGTCTGACTGCAGTTCTGAGGGCAGCCCCCCCCCCTTATGACCCCCAATTCTCCTTAACCACCAAAGCCAGCGGTTTATAAATTCACCCCTTCCTCAGCAGCCCATAAAGGCTCTCCTCTTTGTTTGGGGCTCACTAAGGCTGTCCCAATTTCATTACAAAGTGGTTCCCCGCGAGTGGCTGCTGGAGAACAACGCTCGGCTCCTCATCCTGAGTGGAAACAACATTTGCTTCACTTTCATGGCCAGCAAAGCAGTGAATGGAAGAGCTGTGGAGTTGGCCAGACTCGTGGTCTTCCTGGCCTTGGTGAGTGCTGCTGAGCAGCTCCTCCTGTCTCTCTGCTCCCAGATTTGCTTTCTTAGACTTGAAATCTGTTTCCCCATCTACTCCTATGATCTGTGAGTAGTCCAGCAGGAGATTTGGTGCTCTGTCACTGCCTGGTCCCTGTGCAACACATCCAGCAACACAACCTCTGCGAGGCAGCAAGCCTGCAAGCCTGCTCCTGAGGAGAGGGACCTCAGGCAAAAGGCAGAGGAGATTCCCCTGCAGTGATGCCCCACAGTTAGCTCTGATTGCAACCAATGCAGCCATTCGTTAGAGTCCGTTGTTAGAGCTAAGATTTCATCTTGCCTTTTTAGTGTCAGACCTGTCACAAAAAAACCCACGTTTCTGATACCTTGTGTGCACATCAGGTGTGTGAGAAGGACCTGTACTGCATGGACTGGGCGGTAAAAATGATGCAGAAGGTCTGCAAAGTTTTCAGCACCCCGGGAGAGAGAAACATCTTCCTGCAGAGCGTGGAGAACGCCTTTGCTCACATGGTCATGGACACGCTGCAGGCAGTGCTGGCCGGTAAGCCTGCAGGCTGAGCTCCTGCAGCTCTGTGTGCCACAGCAGGCTGTGCACGTCTCCTCAGCCCCAGCAGGAGCTCAGCTGTGGCTCTGGCAGCGAGCAGCACGGCTCGCTTAGGGCAGGTTTTCATCCTAACACACAACTGTTCCTGTGTTCACCACCTTTGGGTGAGCCAGCAAAGGAATTTCGGAGGGCGTCTCGCGTGTCATTTCACAGCTGTCCTACCATCAGGTGCAGCACAGCTGATGCCTCATAAATCTGGGTGGAAATTGCTGATTTGGCCTCTGTGATAAACGCAGAGTGAGATTTCAGAGAGTCACTGAGTTGGTTTTTCCTTCGTACTGACAGGGAATCGTGACCAAGAGGACGTCAGCTTTCTGAACCTGTTCCACCTCGTGAACGCACAAGCGAACTTCCACAAGGAAATACTCTACCTGGCCATGAGAAGCGGCAGCAGCGCCATTTGATGCTGTGCAGCAGCACCACTGGGTGCCGTGCAGCTCGCAGCCTCCCGCTCTGCTCCTCTGCAGCTCTGCCCCTCGCACTCAGCAGCACTGAGGAAGCGGGTCAGGGCCCTTTGCGTTGGGAACACAAACCACATTCCTTTCCCACTGAGGATGTTTGCACACGCCATAAAAAGCGGCGCCGTTTTCACATGTGATGCACGCGCACGGAGCAAAGCGCGTTGTCTCAGGTCAGAACCAAAACCGTTTTGATCTTTCTGTTGTGTTTTCTCTTGGGAATCCGGCGAGAAAAAATAAAAAAGACAGAATTAGAGAAGCACAGCCACATTTATCCAGTCTGCCATCATCCCTCGTGGTACAACAGAAGGGCTGCACGTGCAGTTGTGGCAGAAAGAGGTGATTCCCAAAAGAAGCCGAACTGCTTTGATGACGTGAGGCCTTTTCCTTGTTCTCTTCCCCAAAACTGAGGGTGCCTTCAGGTTCTTCCCCTGCCTGCGTGGTCACAGAGCTGTTAAGGTGTTTGTAACCATAACAGAGCTAACAGCGCATTGAACGCACCTAGGCTGAGATCCCTGTTTCATTTCAGCATGTAAACGTTTGCTACTTACAAAAACCTTTGCTTTTCTGCTCTGTTCCTTCAAACCAAAGGTGTGTAACACCAAATAAAGAGCACTTGGCTGTGAGCTGCTTACAACGCAGTTATTTGTGTGATTACAGACCCCTCTGCTCCACCCCGATCACTTCTCACACGTTCCTATGCTCCTTTAGCACAGGGCTTCTGCTGCAGGCTGAGCTTCGCAAAGCCGACCTTCAGCCGCTGGTGCAGCCGCAGCGATCCCGGTTTATCTCAGCAGAGCTCCTCATCTGACCAGAGCCCTGCGGCGGTTTTCTGGGAGGTTAAAGATTCCCAAGGCGTTTTTCCATCGTGCGGCTCCGGACAGGAGCAGATCTGCGCTGCGTGCCGGTAGATGGCAGAGGTGAAAGCTTTCCGTGAGAGCAGCAGCTCCTGCTGGATCCCAGCATCTTCCTCGCGTCCGTTCGAAGGCTTAACCTCAAAGCGCGCCGCATCCCGCCGCGGTGCTGCGGCTGATTGCTGTACGCGAAGGGGCGAGGTGCGGGATTCTCCGTCTGAAGCCCCTCCGGCTGCACAAAGCGCGATCCACGGCCGCCCTTTGGCTCGCCGGCAGCCGTTGACAAAGCTGAAATGTCCGAGCTGTCAGCGCCAGCCCTGCCTCGCTGCAGACCCTCCAGGAACGCACAAATGCGGATGATCTACAGCATCACAACCAGCAGCTTCTTTCCCTTTCTCTCACAACAGCTCAGCTTTTGGGGCTGCTTTGGGATTTCTGCACTGCTCAGAGCTGCGCCGGCGCTTCCAGCAGATGGAGCCTTTCTTGCCCAAAGGCCCAAAGCCCACAGGTTTTAATTGAGGGGGTCGATGGGAGCCTGCTAGGATGAGACACACAACCCTACGGTGCCACTGCCGCCCTTTTGCAGACCGGGACTGAGCCCAGAGCTGCAGGCCCGGCTCTGAGCTCCCAAAGGGCAGCAGCACACAGCTATCCGTGTCTGTTTGTCTGTCTGCTGCTCCCAGCCCTTCCCCCCCCACTGCCCCTCACCCTGCAGAGCAGTGCCACGTCCCACTGAGCTGCTGTGGGGCAGAGCTGGCGGCTGAGAGCTCAGGGGAAGAGAAAAGGATTGTTCCTGGTTTCACACTCAGCTGAGTTTCCATTCCATTCCTCCTTACTCACTCTCTCTTAATCACTGCAGATGTTGACATCAGATCCAGACTCACCAAGTGGAGGTTATTGAGAACATGACTTATGTGTGAAGAAATTCCTCCCGGAATATTTCACATTTTCGACTATATTTGGTGTGGAGCGAGAAGAACGCTCTGCCTGGGGCCTCAGACCCGGCACTGATTTGGAGTTTCTCTCCAGCATTTTACAGCAGGAACCCCTCAGCATCCCACTGGCTGCATCACAGCATCCCCGAGCCCCACATTCCCTCCCCTTTCCTCAGGTTCCCCCCCGCCCCCCGCCCAACCCCCCCCCCCCAGCGTCCCCTCCTTGGGTCCCTTGTCTCCCCATCCACATAAGGGGCAGTGGGTGACTGATGGGGCACAGCAGCTCTCCTGCTCTGACACATTTCGGGGGTGTTGTGCTTACAGTGATGAAGCATCCTGCGAGAGGCCGGGCAGCCAAACCCTCAGCTATAGAGGGCCGTGTGCTCTGCATAGGGCACTGCGTGGGACTGGCAGCATTAAGGCAGGGATTACTGCAGAGCTTCATAAAAGAACAGGAAAATTCTTCCCTCTGCCCCAAAGATCTCCCCAGACCTCTCCACGCTGGGGGGAAACAAGGCACAGAAACGTTCTTCCATCCCACAATCATTTCCATTGGATTAAAAACGTCCCTTGTCTGCACGGATTGCTCCGGGATCCCCTGGGGAGGCTCCCATCGCTCCCATCCCCCCGTAGGAAAGCAGCATCGCTCCGGGGACGCGGATTTGGTGCGGCCAAAGCAGCACCGACGCCATCAGATCTCCCCTCCTCCTCCTGGCCGTTTTATTTCATTGCACTGAGCATTTTTCACACGCACACGCTGAAATAATAAGAATTCGGAGTGCTTTCTAAACTGAAACCCGAAGGGCCGATCCCGACGCGCTCATCCCATGCAGGGGGGGGGGGTGGGGGGGGGGGGTTGGGTGAGGAGGACCCCACCGCGCTCCTTCATCCCCTCGGCCCCTCGCTCCGTCCTTCGGCTCCGGGCGGGAGCAAAGCTGTTCCAGAAGGATCTGCGGGAGAGAAGGGAGATGCTGGTGAGCAGCGGTGGGGGCGGGGGGGGTTCGCAGCTTCTTACGAGGGAGGCAGAGGCACCAGGATTCCCCTTCACCGCCTTTTAAATGATGCAGCCGCCGTCCCTCCTCTGCCCCCCTCCCCTCCCAAGGAACCGAAGCACAGCACCGGGAGGAGCTACACCCGGGGGAGGGGGGTCGGGGGCTTCCGCGGCGCGATCCGCTCGGAACAACGGCCGTCTGTGCGTTCCTTCCATCCCCGTGCAGAAAACATCAATAAATACAACCCCCTCCCCCCCCCCCCAGCTCGGTCCTGCCCAGTAATCAGCGCTCGGCTCACCTGCGCCGGGCTCTGCTCGGAGCCTCATCCCCCGCAGCGTCCCCTACAGCATGTAGATGATGTAGGACAGGATGACCAGGCCGATGATGGCGAAAAACATCAGGATGAAAATATCCAGCATGGCGAGGATCGAGCGGCCGCCGGGGCTCAGCTGTGTCCCCAGCGCCGTCCCCGACGTCCCCTCCGCGCGTCCCGCAGCCCTACAACCCTACAGCCCTACAACCCTACAGCCCTACAGCCCCGCAGCTCGGGTTGGCGATGCTGACCCCCGCAGCTCGGAGAGGCGACGCCGATCCCCGCAGCCGACTGGGAGATAAAAGGGTGGGCGCACGCGTGCAGCCCGGCTGCGGCCCCGCACGGCGCTCCCGGAGGCTCCGGTTGAGCTCCGTCAGCCCGAGATGCTCCCGTGGCTCCGGGGAACCCCATGTCCGCCTGGAAAGGGCTTCACCCCACACGGAGAGCTGCTCCCAGCAGAGCCCCGCAGCCAAGCGGGATCCTTTGCAGCGCCCTTTGCCTTTGGGTTCTCGCTCCGTTTCAGCCCATCCCAAAGCAATCCGTGAGCGGCAGCGGCGGCCACGCAGCCGGGTTTATTTTTTTTTTCTGTGGGTGCGGATGACATCCAGCACAGCTCAGCCCGGGATTTTTGGGGCAGCAAACCCTAAAAAGCAGCAGGAGCCGCTCCAGGAGCTGCGCAGCACCACTCAGAATAGCAGGAAAGGATTTCCTAAGGAAGAGTTCCTAAAAAATAAGGGTTTCTTGAGTTTTTAACTGTAAGCATTATTCTGGTTTGCATCACCAAAGGGAGCAGAGATGGAATGGGAGCAGCAAACGGAGCTGGGAGAGGAACGGGGCCAGCAGAGCCACCTCTGAGCCTCACCCCCTGCTCAGGGCTGGATGCAGATGCTGAACCCCCCGGGGCTGCACCCAGGGACAAGGATCTGCAGGGTCCCCACGTCCCCAGGTCCCTGTGTGTCCCCGGGGCACGAGGGAACAGCGCAACAACAGCAGCACCGCGGGCAGGTAGAAACGGTGCTTTTATTGTGGAGGAAACCGAGGATCGATCGGTCTGTTCTACTCGAGGGTTGGCTTAAAAAGGCCAAAGGCTGGATTTCGGTGGGTGCTCAGCCCCACAGGAAGGAAAACATGAGGACAAACCCCAACCAAGTGATGGATCCGAAGGAAAAACCTTCTAAGCACTGAGAGCTGACCGGGCAGCCGAGAAGGGCGAAGTTTATTTTACATTGGACGAGAAGCGATTCAGCTTTTCCATTTTTTTTTCTTTCTTTCTTTCCTTTTTTTTTTTTTTTTTAATGTTTTTTTATTCACTTATTTATTTTAAATACAGGTTTAGGTGCTTTTCAGCTATGAAAAAAGGCAAAAAAGTGCATAAGTCGAGAGAAAAGGCAGAAATGAAGCAGTAAGAGGTTTGTTTCCCACGGTGGGGGAGAAAGGGGCGCGGAGACTCAGGACAATGGTTCCAAGGTAGCATTAAAAAAAGGTCTGTATACCAAAACGTGATCACCTGTGTGATTTGGTCCATTAAAAAACGGTTTATTCACATTGACGCTCCCCCCCCCTGCTATTTCCCAGACGAGGATGATGAAGGACGGGGGGGACGGGGAGGGATGTGGACTCTCTGCCCCCTTCCCTCCTCCTGCGCTGCCTGTGTAGCACCGAGCGGACCTTCAGCCCATGCAGCCCACCCTGATGGGATGGAGGCAGGAGGGGGTGGGATGCTCCCAGCGGGGTCCTTCCCCGTCCCATGGGATTGTCCCCAGGCAGAGCTGAAGGCCGTCTGAACTCGGTCACTTTGGTCCTTTGGGACATGAGCACCTGGCTGCAGGCTTCCAGTTATACCTTCAGCTCTGGGACCTTCCCAGCCTGAACGGGAAGGGGTCAGAGATGTGCTTTGAAATCTTGGTCCATGAAGCGATCCAACATCAGCGGCCACCACCGCTGGGGACCAAGGGGTGAGAGGTGGGGGACGGCACAGGGCTCAGGGTGCTCAACCCCCCCCTCCCCGCTTCTGCTGCCAGCAGGGACAGCCCCCAGCGCAGTCCCAGTGCGGTGACAGAGCGGGGAGACACGTCACACTCGGCCCAAAGAGGCACAGGGATGGGGACCCAAAAAGGGAGAACCGGAGCTGCGGGGGGACATGAGGTCAGGGCAGCAGGTGCTCCTGCACAGTGGCACCACTCAGCCTGGGATGCAGAATGAGGCAGCTGGACCCCAAAAAAGCAGCAGGAGCCGCTCCCAGGGCTGCCCGGAACCATTCTGAATCCCAAGAAAAGATTATTTTTTTTTAAAAAAAAAGATTTTAACCACAAATATTTTTCTGGTTTGCAACACTGAGGACTGAGGGAGTGCAGTCAGAATAGGAACTGCAGACAGAGAGCCAGGGGAAGCAATGGGACGAGGCAGAGCCGGAGCAGCGCAGGGCAGGTGCTGCCAGCTGGTCCCCCCTGCATCCCCCCCCCTGCCCCCAAGAGTTGGGGTGTTTGGTCCTAAGGAAATGATTCTGCTCCTCCCTCCCCATGCATTCCCAGCACAGCGGGGGGGGGGGCCCAGCCTGGTGTGTGCGCCCCATCCCCTGCGGAAGAGAGGAGGAAGGCAGAGGGAGAAGCATTTGGTCCCAGAGCCCCCGCCATCCCTCGCAGACAGACCCTCAGTCCCGACAGAGCGAGAACAAAGCTACAATGGCGAGAGAAACCAGAGGCGGCTGCAGAAACACAAAGAAACCGAGACGTCGGGACGCGGCTCCGGCAGAGGGAAGGGATGCTGGGGGAGAGAGACGCGCGCGCACCGGGGCCACGGGGTGGGGAGGTTTGGCTCCAACCCCCTCAGATTGCTTCCACGTAGTTGGCGGGCAGCATCCCCGTGTCGCCCGTGCGTTCCACCGTGCCGTACATCCAACCGTCGTCGATCTGCTGCACGTTGATGATGGTGTCACCATCCTGGAAGGAGACCTCGTCTTCATCGGCCGCGTTGTAATCATAGACGGCGCGGAAACGCTTCTGTGGGGAGAGAGAGGTCAGCGGGCATGGAGCCCACCATGGGGAACACAGGGCTGTGCCAGCAATGGCAATGGGATCAAAGAATCACGGGATCGCCACGTGGTTTGGGTTGGAAGGGACCTCAAAGAATGCAGAACCATAGAGTGGTTGGGT